TTACGGTAATGATAATAATCATATTTACTCGTATTACCAATTCCTGGAATCGTCTAAGTTAATCTAGGTCTAAGTCAGGCTAAAACATGCCTCTGGTAAAAAAAATTCTTAGAAATCTTTCTTCATAACTTTTTGAGTTATCTTGCTAACCAACGAACAAACAAACCATCTACCTAACCAACGTCACCAAAAATACAACGTAGTGGACGTGATGTACCTCCACTATGTTGCGAGTCCAGACTAGGCGAGTCCCCCTGTTAACAGCGCAGCACCTCCAGACCAGCACCATCTGTGGGAGTTCTTGGCAGCCACCCTGGCTTGGTTTTGTTTTATTTACACAGTTTAGATTTCTTTTACCGGCCTCAGGTTTATTTTAACTTTTAATGGTTAAATAAGTTTCACTCTTATTTTGATCTCTTTTTATTTATATTATTTAAAAGTATTTGCGACAAGACACACGAGTTGCTAAAAACCACAGTCGCCGCGTATCACTCTCTATGGTGGTTCGCTTGTCCGAGTAGCAGCGTGTGGTTTGCGGGGCGCCCGACCTCACCGGACTCCTCCTTCGTGTTTTCTTGTGTCCTACGAGAGAGAGATAAGTATATTTTCATTCTTGTAGGAGGCCAGATAGGATGCGATGTATGAATTGTACAGTTGCGGAATTATATTTCAGTACACTTTCTGGGTCCCACTTTTGTACCTCTGGCAACCAGTCGAAGTAAACATAGCGTAAATAGTATTTTTGTGAATGATGCTAAAACCCTAGGTAGTTTTTAAAAAAAGTGTGATTGGTCGAAAATGAGTAACCAATAAGTGTATTAATGAATATTTTTTGAAACTAAGTAAGCCATTTGATCTTTCGCTTTCTTCAAATAAGTGATAAAGAACAAAGCATGTAATATTAGTTATCATTGACTTTGTAGTTGGATATTCTTCAAATGCGATATCCTGGCATTGTTTGCTTATCCAAATGGCAACATCTATGATGGGGAGGCGGCATTTCCTACTCCTTACAACATAAGAAGTATCATTTATAGATACATATTTCTTAAAACATGAAAAAGTTTCATGCTTTGAACATTTATGTATGGTAACGAAATTACCTAAAAAAAACTGTAAATACAGTTGATACTTGCACCATCTAGTAGCAGCTAATCGACCTAATGTTTTTTTTTATCTTTATGCCTGAATCAAACACATATTGAATGAACAAAAACCGTGCTAAATGAGATTTTTCAATACAGAGCATGAACAAAATCACACTTAGGTTACATTGAATATGTAGATTCGTTATCGATGTGTGTGTGTGTATCGTCTATGGAAATATGGTCATGCTTGGTAATGAGTTACGAAAGAGTATATAATCAGCTATTATGCATTGAATCGGCGTTTCTTTGAGGAGTCGCATCCACATTATGATTACCGCAGGGTATTCTCGCCCTTGAGCAGTAGGTGGGTAAAGGTGATTGTCCTCTGCGACGTGTTATCGGAGTCGTGGATGGGACCCCGTATGTGTCGGAAAGGGGGGGGGGGATAGGACTGTCTTGCCGCGAGGAGTTGTTTCAACTCAAGCAACTATTAGCTGGGTGGTTCCAAGGAGGGTGAATAGCAAAAATCTTAGAACCAACTCCCAATACTTGCGTTGTATATCTTGTTCATTCTAATGAAATGGGAATTTCTCGGTCAGTTGTAATTGTCATCTATCCATTTTATTTCTATTTGTCAGTGCAATGTAATGCAATATATGCGTAGGTATAGATGATATTAGCATATCAAACCTTTACATCAAATTCATTCTCTTTATACATTGTCCTAGAAGTAATAATTTCCCGGAACAATGTAGAAAATAACACGAAGTCGTATATTTCATCTCTTTTATGCTAATGAATATTCCTCAATTCCTGAATATCCACTTCGCTGGAAAAATACATGTCCGATGGTCTTAGACGTCATAATAACATGAAAAATCCGAGGTCAAAGCGAGGCTGCCAAGCTGACACTTTTTTCAGGATGGACGCAAAGAAAGCTGTAATTTGATATAGACTTCTACAACGGGGTGGCATAGCTCAGTGGTAGAGCGCTGGCTGTGCAATCGCATGGTCCTGGGTTCGCGCCCGGATACCCCTCTCAGTTGACTCAGCTGTGAATGAGCACTGTTATGCTGACGTCAGCATGCTAAGGTCAAAGTCGGGGCAGAAAGGAACAGGTCACCCTACCGCATCATTTCGCGGCTTAGTAAGCATGATTCTCTACAAAACATGTCCCTTACGTCCAGATGGATATGGGACCACCTTTGACTTTTGACAATGGGATGAGGGAAAGTAACTTCTCCAATGGTGATATATTCGGAGAGCTGGGCACCCATAACGAGGAAAATACACCGGTAATACACGGAAAGCTCCATTGCTGAAGGGAATTAAAGGTGTAAATAGCCCTTTTCAATATTTCAGAAATCAATTTATTTCAGTTTACTATATAGATATTTGTTTATACAGAAGAGTGCCTTACACGTCATATTTCATGTTCAGATTCTATATTATTTACATTTCACATATGACAGACAAATTATCTATAAAACGGCGAGGCGCGGCCGCGTGACCTGCGATATGTGGGGGGAGGATCTCCCTACATGATGTTGGCGAAACGGGGAAAATGCTTTTAGACAAATATATCGAATTGTTAGAAAGAAATCCTCCCGTCAGTACACTGTTATGCCTTGGGCCCGTACTTTTTAAAACCTTTCGCCAGGGCTGGCGAAGGTTCGCCGGGCGATCCGGAATTTCGTACTTTTAAATCATGCCTGGCGACGTTCGCAAGGGCTGGCGAAAGATCATATTGGAACAGCCTGGCGAAGAGAGCTGTTTGAAACCATTTTCTTGCTTTCAAATTATAAATTAGTAACATATTTGTGTATGATAGATTTAGGAATCACATTCAAATTATAAGATATCTTAAAATCATATTTGTTATTAAATAACGTATTACGTATTTTTTTTTCAAGACCTTCGATTTCCAGTCGAGAGCTCAAACATCAGCTGTATTCCTACCATCCTACCCCTACCCCCACCCCCGAGATGTCTTATTTATATTTAGGTTGTTGTTATTTGGTTGTAAGGATAATGTTCTTTTCACAGATATTACCAGAAGTGTTTTTTATGGCGGCATGTTTATTTTGGCTATAGAAACATAGCTGTAGTGCTCCATCGTATAAGAGGCGTCTTTAATGATACCCTTGTAGGCCTACAGTTCAATATCTTACATCAGTTGGAATAGTAAAATAGTAATTTTTAACTCTTGTTAAAGTATAAAAGTTATTTTTTGTATAAAAGTATAAGGTTGATATAATATAGTATAAAGTACTTTTAAAACCTTTCGCCAATTGCTGGCGTTCGCCTGGCGAAGCTTCGCCAGGCGAACATCTGAGTGAGGGAGGCCTTACTTTTAACCAAGACAGGTGTTCGCCAGGCCTGAACGAAAAATCGCCAGGCGCTAACATCTTGTTCCTGCTAATCAAGCGCTTCGGCGAATGAAAAAAAAAAAAACGCGAGAAAAAAAGCAAAAGGTTTTAAAAGTACGGGGCCATAAAGTTAACCTTGTTATAAAAAGTGCAGTATAGCAAAATTAAAAAGTTAATTTTGTTATAGTATAAAGATATTTTTCTTCTTTGTTATAGCATAAAGTTAAATTTTAACTCCTTTTAAGTGAGACTATTGCGGAAACAACATTTTGTCTTCTTCTCGAGGTTAATAATTAAGTTTAGGTTATGTTATGTGCACTGCATATGTGAACAAATTTGCGCTAGATTTAGCGAAATGCAAGATGTTAGCGGTGGCGAACGTTGGGTTTTAAAAGTAAGGCCTCCCTCACTCAAATTCGCCTGGCGAAGCTTCGCCAGGTAACGCCACACTGGCGAAGTTTTAAAAGTACGGCCTAAGCGTTGACTTCGTATTTCCATGGACGAGACACACACACACACACACACACACACACACACACACACACACACACACACACACACACACACACACACACACCACACACACACACACACACACATGATGAAACATCTATGCATTCTGTAAAGAAGAATCTAATGTAGCATGATTTCTGTTTATTCAAAATGTGTTTGGTTCTGGAAGAATCTACAAAGATCTTTTTCACATTTTTGTTTGATTTTGCTGCTATACAGAGATATTTAAAGCATGAAGCTAAAATCATTGATACTTCTTGTGTTGGAAGAATGGGGAAATCCCGCCTCCACACCATAGGCGTTTCCATTTCGATAAACAAACAATTCGAGAATATCGCATTTGAGGAATATCCAACTACAAAATCAACGATAACTAGTATTGCATGTTTTGTGATCACTTATTGGAAGAAAACGGAAGATTAAATGGCTTAGTTTAAAAAAATATTCATTAATATATTGGTTATTTACATTCGACCAATCACACTCTTTGTTACAAACTACCTAGGGTTTTAGCCTCATTCACAAAAATACTATTTACGCTATGTTTACT